CAAAACTGAAAAGTGGTCTGCTTTATTTTGCAGCTTTCTCAGTTTAATTCATTGAGGTTCATATTAGACACATTTGGTGAAAGAAATCCAGGAACACGTTTGGGGCCATGGAATGACTGCTTATAAAATCTGTTTGGGAAGTAGCAAATCCTCACAACCTGCTATGTCCTAAAATGGAATGGATTGTCTCTAAGGGGTTGATGGAGAAATATTTAGATGTATTCTGTTTACAGCCAGTTATTTTAATTTACTTAATGGAAATCAAGTGAAAAAAAGGCAACATAGTTCAAGATATTTTCTTCTAATATCTAAATAATAAAGTTTGAGTGGTTGAAGACATTTGCATGAAATTGCACCTGGTGCAATACTTGATATTTATAACTCTCCCCACAACTGTTGTATTGCATTTTTTCCCTTCTTTTGGTGCCCCTTTTAGAAATGTCTTGAAGTCTCATTTTTTGCCTATTTCAGCCATGGGACTTCTTTCATAATATTAGTGTAAAGATATTTGTGTTACTCTTTATAAATTACAGTTGTAAATAAATCAGTACAGTTTGCTCAAAACTTTGTTCTTAAGGACCGTGTGTCTCTCCCTCTCTCTTCCTCCCTTTCCCCGCATTTATAAATCTCTATGGATACAACAAAATTAGGAAATTGAGGGCTATCGTTTCAGTGGAATTTAAATGTTCAGATTTTAGCTTTGAAAGTATTAGACTCCTATTTCTGTTCCTCTAGATGGGGAGGAGGAAAGAGGTAGTTTAAAACTAATTACATTACATTCTACATGTAGTAAATTCCTCCCTTGAACTACTCATCTGAACTTCAGTTTTCTCATCTGGAATAGCCCAGTTATTAGTCATGAATATCAAATGGAAAGATGTTTCATTGATTGTATTAGGCACTTATGTAGCTTATCCTCCCTTCACTGTCCCGATAACCAGAGAACTAGAATTCACTCTGGGATATCCACCTCTCGTGGACCCTTAAGGATTGCAGGGGTTGCAGCATTATGAGGTTGGTATTTTCTGTATTTTCAAGATGAGAAAAACAAGGCTCAAATAAATTGAAAAGAAAAAGTACCCCTCATCTCTCCCCAGTCCCTGGGAATTATTATTGCTTATTAAGGTGTAAAATTAATCCCCTATGTAATATTTGATGTCACTTGTCCACCATTAATAAAACATTTTCTAGTAGAGATGATAAATTTTTACTGATATATACTCAACCATTTTGCCACTGGTATGTTTCATACAGGACCGTTAAAACTCCTTAGCATGATATTCTAACATACTAAACTAACTGCCATAGGTTGACAGTTCTATTTAAAATTTGAAAGTTTGGCTCAGGCTGCCATAACAAAATACCATAGACTGGGTGGCCTGAACAACAAATTTATTTTCTCACAGTTCTGGAAGCTGAAGTCCGAGATCAGGGTGCCAGCATGGTTAGGTTCTAGAGAGTTCTCTTCCTGACTTGGAGATGGGCACCTTCTCACTGAGTCTTTGTATGTCTTTTCCTCTATGCTCTCAAAGAGAGCTCTCTCCCTCTTTCTTCTTCCTACAATAACACTAATCCCATGATGCGGGCCCCATACTCATGGTTTCATCTAACCCTAATTACCTCCCAAAGGCCTTGTCTCCAAATCACACTAGTGATTAGGCTTTCATCATATGAATTGTAGGGGTACACAAACATTGCCTGTGATAGTATTTTTTATCATGAACAGTGTTGGATTTTTGTCAAAAGCTGTTTGCATCTGTGGAGACAGTCATGTGGCTTTTCTCCTTTATTAAAGGTTTATTCCATTAATTGGTTTTCATATGTTAAACCAACCTTCTATTCCTGGGGTAAATCCCAGTTGGTCATAGTGTGATCCTCACAACAGTCTTAGGCTATGTGTGATATTATCCCCATATTATGGATGAAGAAATAAAGGCACAAAGAGGATAACTATTTCTAAGATATATAGCAAATAAGTGTTAGAGCCAGGATTTAAAACCAGACCATCCAATTCCAGAGTTCATGCTCATGACTGATAGGCTATGCCTGACTTCTTTGCTGGGGTCTGGAAACAGTAGACCAGAGCTAGGGGCCTCTATCAGGTAGGTCACTGCTCACTTTTCTCTCTTCAGGTCACCAGCTTCACTCCATAGATACCTTTCTAGTCCATGTAGGTATTTTAAGTTGCTATCCCTATGCTGCTAATAACTTGCCCAAAGTTACATGGCCTTTCGGTGATGAAGCAAAGTTTTGAACTCTGGTCATCTGATTTGTAGACAATTACGTCAGAAATTTAGAAGCAGTTATACATACATTTACATACACACACCACCCTTCTCCTTCGACTCTCACCCTGTGCAAAGCTCTAAACCCAATATGATAATTCCCAAGTTTGAGTCTTTTGTTTTTTGTAGTATCAAACATTCTTCTAGGATCTCATCCACTGTTAAAGTTTCTGCTCTTTTTCTGGTGCAGATGATTCCAATTCTTCCTCCTGATTTTCAGTCCTTCATCTCTCTTAGTCATTTGTATACCTACCTCACCCCCAAAATTGAACTCATGTTCCCCCAGACTAACTTCCTTATACTACGAAGGATTGACTGGAGGGTAAGATGCTGGTAGAAAGGAGACCAGTTACGAGTTGCCTGTAGTAGTCTCCGCAAAATGAGGAAGACCTTGCTGTGGATGGTGGTCGTGGGGACAGAAAAAGGGGCAGCAATCAAGGGGTGCTTCAGGAGAGTAAGAAGCACCCTGTCACTAGCCAGAGGTTGGGGGTAAAAGACTTGAAAGACACAGAAGTGACTTAGATTTTTGGGAGGAGGGGATGGGGAGCAGAGAGAACTGGAAAACAGTATAAAGGGTGGTGCCTGTGAGTGGAAGAGGAAAGTACGGATGAGAAGCTCTTTCAGGGGATAAATTTAGTTTCAGTTGAGTTTGAACTGGTATCAAGACGTGTAAATAGAGATGGCTGGAGATGCTGGAATAGGTCCTCTGGAGTAAAAATGGAAATCTGATCAGTACCAGCCTGGACATGGACATTAAAGCGGTGGGACATGGACATTAAAGCGGTGAGACATGGTTAGCACCAGCAGAATTTTAGCTAGGTTTTAGAGATCCATCTAGTGTAGTGATTTTACTCTTCGGCTGCTTTTCAAATATCTGATGAAAGGGAATATGGAAACACGCAGGCAGAGCTGCTGCGGTTGAAGGGGCAGGGAGTGGAGTGGTGGAAGGGCTGCACAAACTCAGCTCACCTGCCTCTCTCCTTCTGCCTCTAAATCCTTTTGTATTACACATGATGACAAGGTCCTGAGAGTGAGGTGATTTGCCCTAGGTGTTAACATAAAATAAGTGGCAGAGCCAGAACTGGAACCCAGCATCTAGCTTTTCTATTATGCCCAGAAAGTTCTAAGGGAAAGCTCAAAAACAGTTTTCATTTTTATTACTTTCCTCTTCTCTAGAATCCACGTTGGCAGTTTCCCTGTGTGGGATGTAAGGAACACAGCACCCACTGGCTCTTGGGCTTGATGGTCTTCTCCTGCCTCTTGGATGGCTCTTTCCCAGGCCCCTCTTCTGCCTGTGCCTTTCACAGTCCACTTGAGTTGTTGTCATTTGCATTCAGAGCTCCATCTTGGTCTAAACTTCTGATGACTCCTAAATCAGTCTCCAGGCTGGGCATCTGAGCTTGAGGTTTATGTCCAACTGCCTACTGGGCATCTCTACCTGGATGTTCCAATAACATGTCCAGCCATGTTTGGAACCATTGTTGGATACAACTTTATGCCAATAAACTTCCAAGTCTAAATGAAGGGTCACTTTTTTTTTTTTTTTTTTTTTTTACAGATTGTAAGAGGCTAATATTGAATAAGGAACCTCAAAAGGCTATAAGTATAGCAGAATTTAAAAGGTTATTAAAGATCTTTCTGCTGCCAAGCCAGGTCCAGATAGTCTGTTAAAGCTTCAAAAAACCCATAATTGCTATGCATTTCCCCTTGAGTTTATTATGAAAGTTAAAATTTAAACTTTTAAAAAGTCTTAAAATAGTACCATGAACAGCTATATATCCTCCTCCTAGATTTAATAATTAACATTTTGCCATATTTGGTTTATCTCTATATAAGCACATATTTTCAAGTCAGACATTCTGACACTTCACCCCTAAATACTTCAGCATGCATCTCCTCAGAGTGAAGACAATGTCTGGCATAATCACAGTTATCACACAAAATTCATTAAAGCATCAAATATCCAGTTCATATTTAAATGTCCCTAATTGTCCCCAGAATGTTTTTTATAGTATCCTTTTAAAAACTAAGATACATTTCAATATAGTTTATTCCAGAGCATTAAGAATAGCAAACTTTATTCGTCTTATGATCTTTGATCTCCAAGCCTGACAAAAGCACAAACACACAAAACACAAAAAGCAATCCTGACTAGTAAATGCAAATATCCTGAAACATTATTAGCAGATTTCAGCATATTAGAGGACTGAATTGTTGCTGAGGATATTCTATCTGAACCCAGTTTCTCTTTTCCCCTCCCCAATCAGTAGCAGCCTTGTAGTCCAATCCCACTGTTGTCTTGAGTGCCTAAATTAACCTAGATAATTCTATCCTCGTCAAGGCGACTTGTTCAAATAGCCCAAGGCAATCAGCCTCTGGTATTTCCCCTGGCCACAGAGGTGATGCAACTAGCAAGAGGCTCAGTTCTTTCGCTGAGAATCGAAGAGGCCGGTTGTTAAACATTGACTAGCGCACCACCCGGATTTTGGTCGTCCCTTGCCTTTCGAGGACCTGACTACAAGGATGTTACATAAACAGCGGGCGATTAATACGTGTTTGAGGCTTGCTGGAAAGAACACCCTCTCCACTGAGCCAGCGGACCCGGAGGCGAGGCGGGGCGGGGCGGGGGCGGATCCTCGGACGCTGCGGCACCGCCCCTCGCGGCGCCGGCGCGGTGGCCCACAGACCTCTGCTCGGGCTCCGGTGTCAGTGGTGCTTCCCGGCAGAGCCATGGCCGGTAAGTAGCCCCACGGCCCGAGCTCGGGCCGGAGGGAGGCTTCGGGCGCGGCGCCGGCGCACGGTCTCGCCGGCTCAGCCCCTCGCCTCCGCCTCGAGTCCCCGCCGCGCCCATGGCCTTCCTTGCTCCGGTGGCGGCGGGGCTGGGGGCCCGAGCGGCGAGGCCGGTGGGCGCGGGCAGGGCGGGGAGGGGAGGCCGCGGAGCCCAGCGCGGCGCACGTCGGAGCTTCCGGGCTTCCGGGAGGGCCTGCGGGGCCGCGGGAGAGTTGGGCCTGCGTGCCAGAAGGGCCCGCCCCTTGCGTCCCACTGGGCTTGTGTGAAACGGAAGGCAGAGATTCCAGGAGCGTTCCGGGCGCCCCTATTCTAGATTCACCTGCGCAGGAAGGGGCGGGGGCAGGTGCTCATTTAAAATGCCACTTCCGCATCCTCTCTCTGGTCTTTCCTGTTTCTCACCACTGATCCCGCTCCGCGACCCGAAGACTGTGCACTTTCCGTAATTATGATACTTCTTCAAATGTGAGACTTTGTTCCGTGGGATTCTTGGAGACTGTTGCTAGGTTTTAGATTGAGTTTTTTTTTTTTACATCTTTATTGGAGCATAATTGCTTTACAATGGTGTGTTAGTTTCTGCTTTATAACAAAGTGATTCAGTTACGCATATGTTCCCATATCTCTTCCCTCTTGCGTCTCCCTCCCTCCCGCCCTCCCTATCCCACCCCTCTAGGCGGTCACAAAGCACCAAGCTTTTTTTTTTTTTTTTTTTTTTACAGATTGTAAGAGGCTAATATTGAATAAGGAACCTCAAAAGGCTATAAGTATAGCAGAATTTAAAAGGTTATTAAAGATCTTTCTGCTGCCAAGCCAGGTCCAGATAGTCTGTTAAAGCTTCAAAAAACCCATAATTGCTATGCATTTCCCCTTGAGTTTATTATGAAAGTTAAAATTTAAACTTTTAAAAAGTCTTAAAATAGTACCATGAACAGCTATATATCCTCCTCCTAGATTTAATAATTAACATTTTGCCATATTTGGTTTATCTCTATATAAGCACATATTTTCAAGTCAGACATTCTGACACTTCACCCCTAAATACTTCAGCATGCATCTCCTCAGAGTGAAGACAATGTCTGGCATAATCACAGTTATCACACAAAATTCATTAAAGCATCAAATATCCAGTTCATATTTAAATGTCCCTAATTGTCCCCAGAATGTTTTTTATAGTATCCTTTTAAAAACTAAGATACATTTCAATATAGTTTATTCCAGAGCATTAAGAATAGCAAACTTTATTCGTCTTATGATCTTTGATCTCCAAGCCTGACAAAAGCACAAACACACAAAACACAAAAAGCAATCCTGACTAGTAAATGCAAATATCCTGAAACATTATTAGCAGATTTCAGCATATTAGAGGACTGAATTGTTGCTGAGGATATTCTATCTGAACCCAGTTTCTCTTTTCCCCTCCCCAATCAGTAGCAGCCTTGTAGTCCAATCCCACTGTTGTCTTGAGTGCCTAAATTAACCTAGATAATTCTATCCTCGTCAAGGCGACTTGTTCAAATAGCCCAAGGCAATCAGCCTCTGGTATTTCCCCTGGCCACAGAGGTGATGCAACTAGCAAGAGGCTCAGTTCTTTCGCTGAGAATCGAAGAGGCCGGTTGTTAAACATTGACTAGCGCACCACCCGGATTTTGGTCGTCCCTTGCCTTTCGAGGACCTGACTACAAGGATGTTACATAAACAGCGGGCGATTAATACGTGTTTGAGGCTTGCTGGAAAGAACACCCTCTCCACTGAGCCAGCGGACCCGGAGGCGAGGCGGGGCGGGGCGGGGGCGGATCCTCGGACGCTGCGGCACCGCCCCTCGCGGCGCCGGCGCGGTGGCCCACAGACCTCTGCTCGGGCTCCGGTGTCAGTGGTGCTTCCCGGCAGAGCCATGGCCGGTAAGTAGCCCCACGGCCCGAGCTCGGGCCGGAGGGAGGCTTCGGGCGCGGCGCCGGCGCACGGTCTCGCCGGCTCAGCCCCTCGCCTCCGCCTCGAGTCCCCGCCGCGCCCATGGCCTTCCTTGCTCCGGTGGCGGCGGGGCTGGGGGCCCGAGCGGCGAGGCCGGTGGGCGCGGGCAGGGCGGGGAGGGGAGGCCGCGGAGCCCAGCGCGGCGCACGTCGGAGCTTCCGGGCTTCCGGGAGGGCCTGCGGGGCCGCGGGAGAGTTGGGCCTGCGTGCCAGAAGGGCCCGCCCCTTGCGTCCCACTGGGCTTGTGTGAAACGGAAGGCAGAGATTCCAGGAGCGTTCCGGGCGCCCCTATTCTAGATTCACCTGCGCAGGAAGGGGCGGGGGCAGGTGCTCATTTAAAATGCCACTTCCGCATCCTCTCTCTGGTCTTTCCTGTTTCTCACCACTGATCCCGCTCCGCGACCCGAAGACTGTGCACTTTCCGTAATTATGATACTTCTTCAAATGTGAGACTTTGTTCCGTGGGATTCTTGGAGACTGTTGCTAGGTTTTAGATTGAGTTTTTTTTTTTTACATCTTTATTGGAGCATAATTGCTTTACAATGGTGTGTTAGTTTCTGCTTTATAACAAAGTGATTCAGTTACGCATATGTTCCCATATCTCTTCCCTCTTGCGTCTCCCTCCCTCCCGCCCTCCCTATCCCACCCCTCTAGGCGGTCACAAAGCGTATAATTGCTTTACAATGGTGTGTTAGTTTCTGCTTTATAACAAAGTGAATCAGTTATACATATACATATGTTCCCATATCTCTTCCCTCTTGCGTCTCCCTCCCTCCCGCCCTCCCTATCCCACCCCTCTAGGCGGTCACAAAGCACCAAGCTGATCTCCCTGTGCTATGCGGCTGCTTCCCACTAACTATATCTGTTTTACGTTTGGTAGTGTATATATGTCCATGCCACTCTCTCGCTTTGTCACAGCTTACCCTACCCACTGCCCATATCCTCAAGTCCATTCCCTACTAGGTCTGTGTCTTTATTCCTGTCTTACCCCTAGGTTCTTCATGACATTTTTTTTTCTTAAATTCCATATATATGTGTTAGCATACGGTATTTGTCTTTCTCTTTCTGACTTACTTCACTCTGTATGACAGACTCTAGGTCTATCCACCTCATTACAAATAGCTCAATTTCGTTTCTTTTTATGGCTGAGTAATATTCCATTGTATATATGTGCCACATCTTCTTTATCCATTCATCCGACGACGGGCACTTAGGTTGTTTCCATCTCCGGGCTATTGTAAATAGAGCTGCAATGAACATTTTGGTACATGACTCTTTCTGAATTCTGGTTTCCTCAGGGTATATACCTAGTAGTGGGATTGCTGGGTCATATGGTAGTTCTATTTGTAGTTTTTTAAGGAACCTCCATACTGTTCTCCATAGTGGCTGAACCAATTCACATTCCCACCAGCAGTGCAAGAGTGTTCCCTTTTCTCCACACCCTCTCCAGCATTTATTGTTTCTAGATTTTTTGATGATGGCCATTCTGACTGGTGTGAGATGATACCTCATTGTAGTTTTGATTTGCATTTCTCTAATGATTAATGATGTTGAGCATTCTTTCATGTGTTTGTTGGCAATCTGTATGACTTCTTTGGAGAAATGTCTATTTAGGTCTTCTGTCCATTTTTGAATTGGGTTGTTTGTTTTTTTGTTATTGAGCTGCATGAGCTGCTTATAAATTTTGGAGATTAATCCTTTGTCAGTTGCTTCATTTGCAAATATTTTCTCCCATTCTGAGGGTTGTCTTTTGGTCTTGTTTATGGTTTCCTTTGCTGTGCAAAAGCTTTGAAGTTTCATTAGGTCCCATTTGTTTCTTTTTGTTTTTATTTCCATTTCTCTAGGAGGTGGGTCAAGAAGGATCTTGCTGTGATTTATGTCATAGAGTGTTCTGCCTATGTTTTCCTCTAAGAGTTTGATAGTTTCTGGCCTTACATTTAAGTCTTTAATCCATTTTGAGCTTATTTTTGTGTATGGTGTTAGGGAGTGATCTAATCTCATACTTTTACATGTACCTGTCCAGTTTTCCCAGCACCACTTATTGAAGAGGCTGTCCTTTCTTCACTGTACATTCCTGCCTCCTTTATCAAAGATAACGTGGCCATATGTGCGTGGGTTTATCTCTGGACTTTCTATCCTGTTCCATTGATCTATCTTTCTGTTTTTGTGCCAGTACCATACTGTCTTGATTACCGTAGCTTTGTAGTATAGTCTGAAGTCAGAGAGCCTGATTCTTCCAGCTCTGTTTTTCGTTCTCAAGATTGCTTTGGCTATTTGGGGTCTTTTGTGTTTCCATACAAATTGTGAAATTTTTTGTTATAGTTCTGTGAAAAATGCCAGTGGTAGTTTGATTCAGTTTTGAACGTGAGTTTTGCAAAGGCACCAACCCTGATTATTTGTAGTTTGAGCCGTGTCAGGTGAAAATGAAGCACCTGTTTTCTTTGATTCGTGCTTTTGTGGTAAGAGGACTGATTAATTTGCTCCACAGTGAGCCCCCCTCACACCCACTGCAGAATGCCCACTTCTCTTGAAAAGAAAAAAAAAAAAAATGGGCAAGTTTTTTCTGCACCTGGACTTTGAGCTTTCAGTTTAGGTATTACATGTTACTTACACCTCCCCATTTTGGATCAGCCCCAGGGATGAGTTTCTAGCTGTGTTTGTTCCCAGGTCTTTGCCTGATTCTTTTACATGAGGCAGTGGAGTGCTCTAGGCACAAAGTCTGGAGACCGGGTTTATTACAGCCTTGGCTCAGCCCATGTCAACAAGTCATTTGATCTCTCTGGACCTCAGTTTCCTGTCCTTTAAAATGGACATTTTAAAGAAATAAATGCTATTTTGAAAACCTTAAAAAAAAAAAGGAAATAAAATGGACATAAACTGTTCCTACCAAGGGCTAGTGAGGCTCTCTCATGATGGTAAGGTTTGTGGAAGTGCTCTCTGTTTTTCATTTCAACCTCCTGGAGCGCAGTGCAAGTTGGTGGCTGAATGAACCCTCAGGATCAGGGTATAGAAGTCCTTTTAGGGACTTCCCTGGTGGTGCAGTGGTTAAGAATCCACCTGCCAATGCAGGGGACGCAGATTCGATCCCTGGTCCAGGAAGATCCCACATGCCGCGGATCAACTAAGCCCGTGCGCCACAACTACTGAAGCCCCCTCGCCTAGAGCCCGTGCTTCGCAACGAGAGAAGACCCCGCTCGCTGCACCTAGAGAAAACCTGCGCACAGCAACGAAGACCCAACGCAGTCAAAAAAACAAAAAAAAGTCCTTTTACACACCTCCCTCTGAGTGTGACTGTCTCTTTCAGAAGAGGCTGATGGACTTGAGAGCTGTGGTTCTTGGTGGGATTGAGGGTGGTGTTGATCTGACTCCCTTGAGGAATGTTTTCAAGTTACATGACCTCAGCCCCACCCACCCAAAAACAAACAAGGTACTCATTCTGTCTACAGTCCAGATTTTGGCTTGCTTCTGGCTGTGCCACTCACTTTGTTGACTGGCTTCATGCAGCTTTTCCTCTGCAAGCTTCTTGTTTCCTCATCTACAAGATACTGTTAATGATACCTCACAGATGCTTCCATGTGTAAAGGACCTGCCTGTTCCTTCTGCTGTTTCCATGTTGGTCCCTTCAGTTAAGATATTTTATCCTTTGTTCCCCTTGGTAAGTCCTTAATTTTTAGAATACAATGAATATTAGTATAGCCAGGGACCTGAAAATGAAAAGTAGTTTCATTTTACTGCTGAGGAGATGAAGTGACTAGTATCTCGTCCTCAGCCTCAGGGAACTCCCCAGTGGTGGAATTGTCCGGCTTCAGCCCCCCTGTGGAGCGGGTGCTTTGCAGCATGTCGGGCAGTCCCAAGCCTGGTGCAGGACAGCTGCCTTTCTGGGTGTGATGGGCGAGAAAGGAAGCCATCAACAGAACCATGGTGGACTTTATCTTACCCTCCTTCAGAAGCAGAGACCAACCCAGCCTCTAAGTTATAGTGGAGACCTTTAGTTGGTCTGTGATGTTTTAGTGACAGCTCAGGCTGTTTGCCCCAAAGTAATTATCCCAGCTTTTGTTTCATGTTTGATTTTCATCCAGTCTTTGAAACTATTTGACAAACTGCATTCCGGGTTAAATTTAGTTCCTCTCAGTATATTTAGGAGAAACCAAGGAATGGAACATCTGAGTTTTCCTTCTTTTGGGGTTAACCCTGAGCCAAACAGGCCTTCATCAAAGGCTAGGGTCTGTCAGATGTTGCCTCTTTACAGTTACAGGAGAGACCCAGAGAGAGAAGTCACTAATGGTGGGATTTCAGACTCCACAGCCGAGGCCGGGTAGGGAAGCGAGGCCAGGCCATTACTGATAATTCCTGAAGTTTTGCAAAGCTTTGTGGGTTACGACATGGTTTGGAACCTTTAATGTAGCCTTTCGTCAGACCATAAGCAAAAACTGTCAATCAGGGTCCAGGCAGGACTTGGAAACCACACCAGTCACTTGAACAGGAAAAGAATTCATATAAAGGACTATTAACCAGTAAAAGGTGATTACTGTAAGAGCTAAAAGAGAACTCTATAGGAAAAGCAAATGTAGGGTGTGGCTACTACCTCAAGGAAGGAGTAAGCCTGGAGGAGCCGCTGACCTGCTTGCCCCAAGGCTGACAGCAGGTCTGGTTGGCAGAGCTGGCCACATAATTTGTGGGACTGAGTCTCCAGTGAAAATGTGGAGCCGCTTGTTCAGATAGCAGGAAAAAACGCTGTTCGGTTTTCCTTCCACAGTGTTTCTCTCAACCTCTCATGGTATTTTTCATTTGCTACTTAATGTTGTGCTCCTTTGGGCATGGGAATATTCATGGGGTGAGTGCAGACCTGTGACTAGGCACATGTGCAGCCCACTGGTTGCCAGGTTCCCCCTCTACCTGCAGCTGGACCAGTGCACTGTGTCCCAGCTGGTGACGGGGACGTCGAGACAGGCGTGTCCGCTTCCCTTGGGCCTTCTGCCCCAACTCACGGTGGAGCAGAGACTTCCAAAGGGATTTCACCTGCTACGCTGGGAGGTGCTTAGCATCTGGACTGGGGATAGACTGGAGGCCGGAGGTCACATAATAAGGGATAGTTGCGTACTCAGACCTAGTCTTCTTTCTTCAAGCCACGTTCTCACTTGTAAGGCAGAAGCTGGCCCTGCCTGCTTCACTTCAGATTCTTGTGCCTGGAATGGACTTTGCCCACAGATGTGGCTCTGTCTCAAGGTTGCTCAACCTCAGTGTTATTGACATTTAGGACTGGATAATTCTTTGTTGTCAGGGACTGTCCTGTGCATTATGGCACGTTTGGCAGTGTCCCTGACCTCTACCCACTAGATGACAGTAACACCGCATTAGCTGTGACCATCAACAATGTCTCCAGACATTGCCAGATGCCCTGGGGGGCAAAATTAACCTTCCATTGAGAAATGCTACTCTAGGTGATTCAGCGGTCAGATCTTCTGACAGCTGTTTTCTTTTATCTTCATCCTCAGCTTTCCGCTTGGCCCTCATCCAGCTTCAAGTTTCTTCCGTCAAATCAGATAACCTCACTCGAGCCTGTGGCCTTATCTGGGAGGCAGCAAAGCAGGGAGCCAAAATAGTTTCTCTGCCAGTAAGTATGGAGGCAGCCACCCCTTTCTGGGAACTGTTGTCCCAGCAGAATAATGTCCGCTAGCTCTGGTTGTCCTTCTGTGTCCTGCGGTCCAGCAAGGTCCTTTGGGGCCCCGGGATTGTTCCATGTTTGTCTGGAAGATGACCCTAGCAAGAGTCTTTGTGATAGGATGTGCCAGCATGCTTACAGGTTTTTAACTTTAGGTCACTTACTCTGTTCAGAAGCCTCGTAGGCTGAGGGACTTAACCTAAAGCTAAAATACTCAGTGCCTCAGATATTTACCTTCTTTCCTTGTGTACTTAAGTCTTTACAGGACCAGGACGTATTGATTTTAGCGCTATGCTTCCAGCATTTAAAAAAATTGTTGAAAACTGAAAATTGTTAGAGACATTTAGGAAGTCTGTGGTATCTTCCAAAGTGTGGTAAGCCAGTAGGACTCTGCATCTGTCTCCTACGTCATCTCTTTTAGAACAGAATCAGCCGAAGATTGCACCACATTTGTTTGTCAGCAAATACAGGGTCAGCCCCAGAGAAGGTCCTGTACGTGTCAGGACATGCATCTACTGGCAGAGGCCTGCTGGGGTCAGTGGGAGAACTATTCCCGACCACCCACTACCCCATTATGGGGAGGAGGCAGCCGTTTGCAAACACTGGAGAATTTTCAGGGCTACCTTGTATTTTATTTTAGGTTCCAGGCCATTACAACGTGGCCAGTGAGTAGGAATCTTCAACAAGGGAGCTCGAGATCTTAATTTTGCACCATGCGACTCACCTGTACTTGCACCTGATAACGGGTTCTTGTTGGTTTAAGTTGCTAGGGGTAAAAGAGTCTAAAGGCCAGGAGTGAAAGCACTTGAATTCTCCTCTACCTAACACGTGTTTTGTACAAGCTGGTGATCCTCGGCTTTGGGTTTCCTAGCACAGTGCCTGGTGCACAGGCAATCTCAGTAAATGCAAAATGAATGAACTCGAGTCGAAATCTAGTAGTTTTGCTTTTCTTTCATCACAGAGCTGTTGAGACATATTCAGGGGAGTGAGAGATTTTGCAGGATCAGAATGATAGTGCTGGAAGGGAGCTTAGAAATAGATCATTTTATACATGAGGAAACACCCTAACCTCTGTGGCTTTCAAACCTTCTGTATGTTTTTTTTTTGTGTGTGTGTGGTACGCGGGCCTCTCACTGTTGCGGCCTCTCCCCTTGCGGAGCACAGGCTCCGGACGCGCAGGCTGAGCGGCCACGGCTCACGGGCCCAGCCGCCCCGTGGCATGTGGGATCCTCCCGGACCGGGGCACGAACCCGTGTCCCCTGCATCTGCAGGCGGACTCTCAACCACTGCGCCACCAGGGAAGCCCAAAGCTTCTGTATTTTTAAAAAACACAGGCTTTATTACTTTACATAGTTAATAATATAGTACTGAGACTATGGAGTCATCCTAACACCCAAAGTCCTCTGAGTAAGCCCAGTGGTAGTGGGGCCTGGGTGCCCAAGGCTGGGAAGGCGTAGTTCTCCTGTGGACTCAGGGAGAGACAAGTGCGGTCTTTTGCCAAGGTGACCAGGATTTGGGACAGCACGCTGACTTGTCTCCTTCAGCCCCACCTGAGTCAGGGGCCGAGTCCTGTCTGTGGCCACAGGCTCTTTAGCCCTGAGGTGTCCATGTTTTTCTTATCAGCTGTGTTTTACCCCTTTGAGAGCTATGTCTTTTTACAGCAGAACTTTAAAGTGAGTTGGGTGTTTTGGTGTTTTTTTCCCCATTTTCTCTTCCAACATTATTCTAGGAATGCTTTAATTCTCCATATGGTACGAAATATTTTCCTGAATATGCAGAGAAAATTCCTGGTGACTCCACACAGAAGCTTTCTGAAGTAGCAAAGGAGTGCAGCATATATGTCATTGGAGGTAACTTCCTACCCTCAAGGTATAATGGCCTAAATATTAAAAACGTCTGAGTAACTTTTGTTGTTACATTTAAATCGTGGAATACAAATTAGCTATCAAAAAGAATGAGGTAGATCTGTATTTAGGAATGCGGAAGGATCTTTGAGACACACTGTTTGGTGGAAAAAGAGCAAGTTTAATATGAAATGAACAGGTACTTCCATACAGATTAATGCCCCACACAAAAGAAGGTTGTATATTTGTATATGTATTTATGTATGTAAGACATAGTAAATACTGTAGAAGGACACACACCAAACTGATGATGATTTTCTCTGGAGAAGGAGTTGGAAGTACAGGGGCAGGTGGAAAGAGAAGCCATATCTGAATGTCTTTCATTAATACAGTGTTAAGATTATTTTTTTTCCCATAAAGAGGCCGCATACATCAAAGGTAGCTTAGAGTATTAGGCTTAGTGAATTAAGTCAGACAGAGAAAGACAAATACTGAATGCTATCATTTACAAGTGGAATCTAAAAAAAGAAAACAAAGGAATGTATATAACAAAATGGAAACAGACTCACAGAGAGAACAAACTAGTGGTTACCAGTGGGGAGAGGGAAGGGGGGGAGCGGGAATATAAGGATGGAGGATTATGAGATATAAACTACTATGTATAAAATAAATAAGCAACAAGGATATATTGTGCAGCACAGATAAATAGAACCATTATTTTGTAATAACTTTATTTTATTTATTTATTTTTTTGCGGTACGTGGGCCCCTCACTGTTGTGGCCTCTCCCGTTGTGGAGCACAGGCCCCGGATGCGCGGGCCCAGTGGCCACAGCCCACGGGCCCAGCCACTCCGCGGCATGTGGGATCCTCCCAAACCAGGGCACGAACCCGCGTCCCCTGCATCGGCAGGCGGACTCCCAACCACCGCGCCACCAGGGAAACCCCTGTAATAACTTTAAATGGAGTAAAATCCAAAAAAATACATTGAATCACAATGTTGTACACATGAAACTAGTATAATATTATAAATCAACTATATTTCAGTTTTTAAAAAGTAGCTTTATTTATGTGGTTTTGTTTAAATAAAGTGTTCTGTTTGATTAAATAAAAATACAATAAAACTGTTTAATATAGCAAACAAAATTATTTCTCTATTATCATATAGTAAGAATTAGAAATGAATAAGAGGAGGAGAAAAGAAGGCAAAGCAAGAAGAGACAGAACCATATTCAGTGATGGAAAGACTGGCTTACATTCCCACCTCAAGACCTTTTTGGATACAGTTATGTTGCAGGACCTGGTGAATTTAAGTTGAGCAACAGTGAATTCCCCGAGTTGCACCAATGCTTCAGATGAAGTGTTGCTCAAGATCAAAGCTGAATTCAGAAACAGTTTGGTTATTTTTGAAACCTTTCTTTGGCATCTAACCTAATTATATTTCACCTACACTCTGAAGTTGGTCTCTGAAAAATCATATTCAAGAAGAAAAAAGCATGATTAAATAACCCTTAGAAGATAGTAAACTTTATTGTTGGACCCAAGAAGATAGTAAACTTTATCAAGCCTTTGTCCTGTTATCATAAAAGAATGCTTTATTCAGAGTGTTTTCTGTGTTTGTGTGTTTCTCCTCTCAATGAAAGGTTCCATTCCTGAAGAGGATGCTGGGAAATTATATAATACCTGTGCTGTGTTTGGGCCTGATGGAACTTTACTGGTAAAGCACAGAAAGGTAAGTAGAGAATGTGGCAAGTCTCATTGCCTCCTGAGAATTTGCTTTGAAGTTCCCAGTAACTCTCATCATATGGTACACACATCAGGCATTTGATTAGTTGGCACAGGTGGCTATTCTTGGCTTTTGGCATTTTGATATAAATTGTAGACTCAGCCTATCGATTTCAGCCAAGGAAAAACCTACAGGAATTTTGATTAGGATGGTATTGAACATACAGTGATCCAACTCTGGAGAGAGCTGACATCTTTGCAGTAGAAGTGCATGCATATACATTTAGGATTGTTAAGTCTTCTTGGTAAATTGATTCTTTTATCATATGTCTCTCTCTTTTTTTTTTTTCATTGTAGTACTCTGTCTTGAGGTTTAGCTCTGATATTACTATAGCCACTCTAGCCTTCTTATACTTACTGCTTGTGTGGTACATCTTTTACTAATCTTTTATTTTCAGTCTATATGTCTCTTTATATTTAAAATGCTTCTCTTGCAGAAAGCATGTAGTTGGGTCTTGCTTTTTTTTTCATTCTGACAATCTTTGCCTTTTAACTGGAGTGATTACTCTATTTATATTTAATGTAATTATTGATATGGTTGGATTTTAAGCATATAGACATTTAATTATTTTTCCCCTTTGTTCCTTTTTCCTGCATTCTTTTGGGTTGAGTAGTAGTTTGCTTTTTTTCCCCTAAGTTGTTGCCCTGTGACAATATACACGCTTATATTGTCACAGTCTACTTAGTTAATAATATATTTCTTCATGTGAAATGTAGAACCTTGCAATCGTATAGGTCATTTCTTTATGGTATGGTTTTCACACATATTGCATCTATATACATTATGAATCCCACAAAACACTAATTTTTAATTTAAGTAGTCATGTGTATTTTAAAGAAATTAAGAGAGAAATATTTTGTGTTTACCCAAATACTTAACATTTCTGGTGTTTTTCTTTTCTTCCTGAAGATCTTAGTTCTGTCTGGTATGTTTATCTTCAAACAAAAAGACCTCCTTTAGCATTTTTGTAGTGAGGCTCTGCTAGCTATGAATTATCTTAGTTTTTATTTATGATATACCTTTACTTTGCCTTTATTCTTTTTTTAAAAATATTTATTTATTTGGCTGCGTCAGGTCTTAGTTGTGGCACATGGGATCTTCATTGCGGCATCTTTCGTTATGGCGTGCAGGCTCCTCTCTAGTTGTGGTGTGCAGGCTCTAGAGTGCACGGGGCTTAGTTGCCCCACGACATGTGGGATTTTATTTCCCCGACCGGGGGTCAAACCTGCGTCCCCTGCATTGGAAGGCGGATTCTTAACAACTGGACCACCAGGGAAGTCCCGCCTTTATTCTTAAAAAAGATTTTTGGTGGAATAGAATTCTGGGTTGACAGTTTTCTTTTTTTCCTCAGAAGTTTGAAAGATGTTATTATTCAGTTATCTTCTAGCCTCTTTTTTTTACCCCTGATATGAAGTTAGTGGTAATTTGTATTGTTTTTCTGCATGCAATTCATGTTTTTCTCTACCTGCCTTTAAGGTCTTTTCACAATCTTTAGTTCTCACTATTTTGACTCTTATATTCCTAGATATGGTTTTCTTTGTATTTGTCCTGCTTTGTGTTTCTTGAATCTGTAAAATTTAAGTCTTTCACTGTATTTGGGAAACTTGGGGGCATTATTTTGTTAAATATTTTTCTGTCCCATTCTCTTCTTATGGGACTCCAGTTTTGATACTGTTCACCAAACCAGGTCACCAGGTTCTGTTTTTTAGTTTTGTTTTTCAATGCTTTATCTCTGTCTTCTTCAGATTGGGCATTTTCCATTGACCCATCTTCAGATTCACTGAGTCTTTCTTCTGTAATCTTCACTCTCCTGTAAATCAATCCAGTGAAATTTTAAAAAATTTCAGATGTTGAATTTTTTAGTTCTAAAATTTTCATTTCATTCTTTTTCATAGCTTTTATTCCCTACTGTATTTCCTGTTCGTTTATGCATTAAGAGCTTATTTTTCTTTACTCTCTTGAGCTTAGTTTCAATAGCTGCTTTAAAGTCTTTGATAATTATCACATCTGGGTCTTACTGGGGTCTGCTCCATTGCTGCTTTTTTCTTTAAGACTTTGGGTCATATCTTTGTGTATCTAGTAATTTGGATTGTATATTGGATTATATGTTGTTGAGATTCTAACCTCTATTACATTCCCCTGAAAAGTGTTGAATTTTTTATTTTAGCAAGTAGTTAATTTGGGCATACTCAAACACCAAACTCTTTTTTCCTTTGTGAGGTGGGTAGCAACTTCAGCTGCTCTGTTCTACTGTAAAGTTGTTTAGCTTTAGCTGGGCTGCTTGGAGTTTGCCCCACACATCTTTAGTTCATTGATTAGTCAGAGATTTGGACAGATTTTATATGTAAAATTTAGGGCTGTTCTTTGGCTTTCTCCTTTTCAGTATTTCCCCCTCACTTTCCACCTGCCATGAAACTATTCTCTGGTTCCTCAGCTGGTATGATTGTGGGTAGTTGTCACTACCACTCCTAGCAACAGCTGGGGGCTTTGCCTCCAACTAAAAGCTGTAAACAAATGGGAAACTCACACAGAACTAGTCCCTTCTTCCAAGTGTTGACTTCTCTTCGGTTTCTGCCTGATTATTTTCAAGTGCTTTTAAGTAGTTGTTTTTTATTTTGTCCAGAGTTCATAGTTATCTGTGAGAAAGCTGGTCTGATAGGAGCCACTCTGCCATTAGTGGAAGAGGACCCAGCATTGAGCTATGTTTCTTTTTTTTTTAGTTAAGTATTTCTTTTAAATTAATTAAGTTTTTGGCTGTGTTGGGTCTTCGTTGCCGTGTGCAGTCTTTCTCTAGTTGCGGAGCACGGGGTTTACTCTTTGTTGCGTTGTGCAGGCTTCTCATCGCAGTGGCTCCTCTTGTTGCGGAGCACGGGCTCTAGGTGTGTGGGTTTCAGTAGTTGTGGCATGCGGGCTCAGTAGTTGTGGTGCATGGGCTTAGTTGTTCTGCGGCACCTGGGATCTTCCTGGACCAGGGCTCAAACCCGTGTCCTCTGCATTGGCAGGTCGCTTCTTAACCACTGAGCCACCAGGGAAGTCCCAGCATTGAGCTATTAACCCAACTCTTTAAAGTGCTTGTTTTCAGAATTGAGTTTTCCAGGCCATGAATATGATATATATCTCTCTCTCCATTTACTTAGGCTTTCTTTAATTTCTCTCAAAGTTTTTTAATAGTTTTTTGGGTATAGTCTTGTATATCATTTACTAGATTTATTCCTAATTGGTATTTCTTGATGCCCTTTCATTTTCTGTTTCTTGCTAGTGTACAGAAGTAGAACAGATTTTTAAAATATTGACCTTGTATGTAGTACCCTTGTGTAAACTTATTCATTCTAATAATTCATCTGTATATTTCCCTTGACATTTCTTAGGTACACAATTATATCATCTGAGAATAATGGCTTTTAATTTTTTCTTTCTAATCTTTATCCTTTTTATTCCTTTCCTTTGCCTTGTTGTTTTGGTTAGGACCTCTGGTATAGTGTTGAATAGCAGGTGTACTTACCTTGTTCCTGATCTCAATAGGAGAAGGGCTTTAATGTTTCACCATTAAATATGATGTTTCCTTAGATTTTTTTTTTACAGATATTCTTTATCAGATTAAGGAGGTTCCCTTCCTAGAAGAGTTTTTCTGTTCTGTTTTTTAAATAAGAATGGATGGAGAAGTTTACCAAATGCTCATCATGCACCTCTTAGGATGATCATATGACTTTTCCCCTTTATTTTGTTCATGTGGTAAATCACATTGATTGATTTTTTAATGTTAAATCACATTTGCTTTCCTTGAATAAATCCGATTTGGAAGTGATGTGTTTCTTTTTAATATATTGCTGCATTGGGTTTGCAAAATTTTACCTATTTGTGATTGCTCACCCACTCTCCACCTCTTCTGCCAATGTATCAGTTTGATTCTGATTCTGAGACGTCTTCACTTAGCATTTATATTGAGTAAAAAAGCTGCACATTAATTGCTTTCCATAAGAAATCTAGATGTTGATTTGAACACCACTAAGGAAGCAAGGGTCATAAAACTTACAGCATCATTTTTCCAGTTCCCTGTGTTAGAAATTATTTTGATATGATGTCAGTCAGCTTGTGGGGTGGGTTGTGGGCAGACTGGGGGTGCTGTTTGTACAGTTGATCTTAGAACACCCCCATTGCTGGCCATGGAAAGATGTTTGTTATTATTGCCATGAACCCTGCAGAAAAGAGGTAACCGAATCCATTATTTGTGATGCAGCTCCATCTGTTTGACATTGATGTTCCTGGGAAAATCACATTTCAAGAATCTAAAACATTGAGTCCTGGTGATAGTTTCTCTACATTTGATACTCGTACGTACCAGATAAATTCACCTCTTTTAGCAGTCCCTGTAGAAGAGGATCAGGTAGTCCTATGTTTTTCACTTCTCTCCCTTCCCAGCCTCTTTACAAAACCTGACTGAAAGGCCAGAAGTGAGAAGGGTAGAGAATGGTCAGAGATCTAGAAAGGGGGGGCTGGGTGGAGAACTGAGGGCTTGACATGATTTTGCTCTTCCATTTGGTCACAGCCTTTTATTAGTATGATAGCTTCTGGCCTGTACCCATTAGGCCATGATTGAACACCTCCCACTTAGATAAGAAGCATTCAGTTAGAACGAATTTCTCATCTCTGCTTTGCTGTTGTAAATGATGTCTTCACGAGGTGAGGTCCAGGCAGGAATAAGCTTATACATTTTCTCCATCCATGGGCCCTGCATGAATGTATTCCTGTCAGTGTTTTGTGATCATTAGATCTTGGAGGCTTTCCCCTGCTGCACCATGAGGCAGGAGCTTAACTTTTTGTTTGTATATTTTCTGTTTGGAAAACAGCTTACTGCAGAGTGGGCCTGGGCATCTGCTATGACATCCGCTTTGCAGAGCTGGCACAAATCTATGCACAGAGAGGTAAGGCAGCACTACAGTTATGTTGTGTAAATGCTTGGAGGTTTAATTTGGGCTGGTCTTTGTGGGTAGAGGGAACCCTTGGTCAGAAAACCTGGAGGAGAGGTCTTAATTTCTCTACCTCCATATGAATTTTCAGACTTCTCATGAGTATGGACAGTATCTTTTTTTGGGGTTGTAATTTAACACACCACATAGCTGAGGGAGGAGCCATACTCCTAAACTAAACCTCTGCTCTACCCTTTGAGCCCTTCCTGCTACTGTGTTTGGAAAGAGTCACTCGGGGCCCGGTAGAAATGGTCTGCGTGCACATGGCTTTCACCACTTACTAGTCCTAGATGTTGGGTAGTTGAAATGTAGCAGTGACATTTTGGTCCAGAGGAGCGTGCTACCATCCTGGAGAAGCACCAAGTCAGATCAGAAGATGTGGGTTCTGGTTCCAACTCTTCCCCTTAATTGGCACAATACTTTGGGTAAATTACTTCATCTCTGGAAAAATATGCATCTCCACAGGAACAGTGTGAGGATTAAGGAGAGAGGACTTACAGAATTCCTCATATGGTACTCAACAAATATTAGCATCCCTACTAGACTGCCAAAGATACTCTGATTCCAATTTATCTGTCGGTGAAAGTGAAGTGGGTGCAAACAGTTTGACTTCCTGCTCAGCAGAAGGTGGAGGCACAAGGGCTCTGGGTTGGCAGTCTCAGTTGAGTCTTAACAATAAGCAGTAGAGCCCCTACTCTGCCCCTCGTTTCAATTGACAAGCATCACAAAAACATGGTCCTTGGCCATGGGAGCTGACCACATGATGCTGAGAGGAATTCGAATGACAGGTTCTCCACTTTTTTAAAGCAAAGTCACATGTTGTGGTTTTGGTTGTCAATACCACTTTTCTTGTGTGTATGTGTTTTGTGTGTGTGTGTCTAGAGGAATTTAGAGCCATACTTAATGCTGCTGACCCTGTCTGACTTGGCTGAATCTTTTTATGCTTGGGGAAGTTTGAGTTTGGTCCCTGCTGGGTAAGGAATAGAGGGAGGGGCTAGTGTGGTTGGGTGTCTACCTGCATCTGCTCTTCTTTGGCCTTTCTCTCCCCAAGGCTGCCAGCTGTTGGTATATCCTGCAGCTTTTAATTTGACCACCGGACCAGCCCACTGGGAGTTGCTTCAGCGAGGCCGGTAAGAAAGCATCTCAAGCACACCTTCAGGAGTCTCAGTGTTTCTTTGTGGAAACATTTCCAGTTTGGTGGAAGCACCAACCTTCCCCGTATGGAATGCTGCCTCTGACTCAGAATGCCCCGGCATCCAAATGCAGTTCAAAAAGGTGACTCTTTTCATCTTCCAGTCCAAAAGGAGGGCTTCTAGTGTAGGGCACCTTCTCCTCAGAAGCCACAGCACCAGTCTCATGGATTTTGGAGACTGTGATTTTTGAATTTCGAAGAGCATTCACTGCCTCAGGTGGGCAGCAATTTCATTCTTCTGTGTTCAGGCATGGATTGGTGTCTCTGATACAGTTGCCAACAACTTTTACAGAGAATTGGAGACCCGTGGAATGTATGTGTCTGAAGCCAAGGAAAAGGCAGGGGTTATTTTAGCCTGACAGCCCTAGGGAGAGACTTGTGGTCTGCATTCCATGGACCCTGTGCTGCTCAGATTGGGTGTTTATCCTACTCCGTCCTCCATAGTGGCCTGCTAGTCTTGGCACTCTGCCAAGAAACTCGTCATAAGTTCTCGCTCTTCTAACCTCTAAGTCCTGAGCGTTGCACAGCTGTGTTGTGCATTCACAGTTGCTGTTTCCCTAGTCCCCTGAGGCTGAGGAGTGGTGAAGGGCAGATGGCAGAGGTGCGTGTAACATGGAAGGGAAAAGGAGCGTGACTGTGTAAAGTGCTCTGCAAAACAAATGCTGGTCAGAGATGACAGTTTTTTTCATTAAAAGATTTTTAAAGTGAGGTGTTATATACTTACAGAAAAGTGTACTAGTTTTAAGTTTACAGGTTAGTGAGTTTTTACATATGTATTAACCTATGATCAAGATCAACATCTTGAACATTTCTAGTGCCTTGCAATGCTCCCTTTTGCTCCTTCCCAGTCAGTACTCTCTTCTCTCCGCCCAGGGGTAGCCACTAGCTCATGTCTGGAGATGATGGTAATTTTTATTGGAAGGAGATATAGAAGTGTTTGGCTGGTTGTGTGATGGAAGGTGGGGTAGGGGTACATGTATGACTATTAATAAACGCTGCCTTGTTGAAAGGAAGAAAAGCTTGGGAGAGACTGGGATGGTCTGGCATGAATCTGTTGATTGAGCCTAGAGGGCTCTGGGTCAGGTGGCTTTGGTGCACCCGGGCTGCCACCCAAAATTCTTGCCTAATTTGAGACAGTGGGGCTGCCACATTGGCATGGAAGGGCCCTGCAGCCCTGCAAGGTGTGTTGTCCCAGAGCAAGTCTGTTCTCTCTGGCCACCTTGACTGCATTAACCAGAGAAGCTCTGCTCTTTACATGTTACAGGTTGGCTCAGGCCGGGGTTTCTCGGCTTTGGCAGCACTGACATCTTGGGCTGGATGACTCTTTGGTGTAGGAGCTGCCCTGTGCATTGCAGGGTGTTTAGCAGCACCCCTGGCCTCTACCCACTAGCTGCCAATAGCAGTCCCTTAGTTGTGACGGTCAAAAATGTCTCCAGACACTGGCACATGTCCCCTGGTGGGCAGAATTGCTCTAGTTGAGAACTGGCTTATGCAATAAGATCGTTTTTGAAGAGAGGGTCCTGTGGCTTTGGATGTTTCTTCCACATCTGAGCCAGCCTGTCCTATCCTAGTTTTTGAAAGAAGGATCTGTACACTTAGGATAAAAAGTCACAGATCTATGTAATCACTGTATAATTTACCTCTTTTCTGTCCATTAACTACAGTGCTGTTGATAATCAGGTGTACGTGGCCACGGCATCTCCTGCCCGGGATGACAAAGCCTCCTATGTTGCCTGGGGACACAGCACCGTTGTGAGTCCTTGGTGAGTTGGCTACACAGGGACAGGCTCACGAGGAGCTCGGGAGATGGCACTTGGGCAAGTGGGTTGTCTGATTCCTGCCTGGTCCCGCCCCTCCCTCCACCCCCATCTCCCCACATGCCTGCCAGGTCTCCAGGTCTCTCAGTGAGAGAAGCTTCCACTTGAAAACCATGTGAGAGAGAAACGGTCCTGCTCTCCTGACTGAGTGCTTGGCCTCAGCCCTCTTCTGAGTTTCTAAGTGACTTTTAATGTCAACCGAACTTGGAAACAAGGCAGCAGTCACGGGTGGGTGGTTTTAGTAAAAGAGGCTCCCAAACTCTTGGCTTTTGGTTAAAATTTAGACTGGGTCAATGGTCCTAGGGCAGGAATGAGTTGCAGGTTGAGGATTTGCTCCCTGCATAATGATTAGAGGAGAGTGGAGGATGGGATGAATTAAGGGGAGCTGTGAGCTTGTCCTCTGTGAGAGGGAAACGCATTTTATTACTTAGCGAAACCAGCATGGAAGTCTGCCCAGATACATATACATATGTTAATAGACATATCTTACTGGCATTTGTGTAGTTTACATAGTACTTTCACACACATTATCTCAATGTGAACTCTCAGGGACTTATCTTTATTTAGCCCAGTTTATAGATGGTAGACTTGAAGTTTACAGGATAAAGTGGCTAGAACTGGTGTTTGGATCCAAGACTTTTGAATTCAGAACTGAGATTTATTCCATACTACTTCTCATATGTCTGTATGATTACAGACACACAAGCACACACACACAGATATGTCTTTCTACAATTTCAGGATAAATATACCAGTAACAAGGCTGCAGAGGCTTAAACGTCACTGTGGGGTTCCTAAAGTTTCTCTCTGCTGACTTTACAGGACCCACAGATTAAAGTGTGTAGTGGGGAAGGCCTTGGAAGATGTGACCAGCGAGACAGTCCCAGTGAGCCCCTTGCATGCTAGGATTTGGGAGGCATTGAAAGACTGGAAGGATTGAGTTGGCTTCAGAATTAAACTTGACTCAAGTTCCTCTGCAGATGTTAGTGACCAGCTTCCTGACCTTTTGGGCAGCTCTGCTCCCCAGCTGGTTCTCCTAATGAACTCTGTTATTGATCAAGCTGGCTGCTCTGACACAAAGTAGTTGTATAAGATTTACCTTTATTTCTTCCTTTTTAGAATTCCCCCCGTGCGGTTTGGGAGCCCTCTGGCTTATATCAGCGTTGGTATAGGTGCCTGGGGTTAACATAGAGATCTTTGAATGCCAGGGCAAATGGGGAAGAAATAGAAGAGACTAGAAAAGGATTCAGTTAAATGGCATTAATGATGGTGTTTGTAGCTCACTGTGCCAAAAATTTGTGGCCATCTGGTAGATGGAACCAATTATTATGTCAGATTGTTTGTTGTATCAGATTACTTTGTTTTGTGCTTTGGAGAAATTTCATTTCACAGATACGTTTCTGAAGCTCTGTTTTGGGCCAAGAGCCTCAGCGCTGGAAAGAGTTTTCCAAATCAGCTTTTCCTCAGATTTATGGAGTGTTGCTCTTTCCAGTGTGGGGTTCCTGCCAGGGCATGGTTCTACCACTTCTACCTCAGGCCCCATAGGTTGAAACCTTTCCCTCAAAACCTGAAAGCCATTAACATAGGGATCCAGGGATCACAGGCATGAAAACAGAGATCCAGGCAGATCCGGGCCCTGCCCAGGCCTAGTCTCACCATCTGCATGGTTGGGTAGCAGCCTTGGGAGGTGTGAAGAAACAGAGCCAGACTACCCTTGTAAAGGGGTCTTGAATGTACTCACGAGGGGACAGATGGAGCTTCCTGTTGGTTATAGGTGTCTCTATTCCCAGATGTTTACATCCGTCGACAGAAATAATAAATAATCTATAATAGGAATAGAAAAGAGTTTTATTCAAGCGAAACTGAGGGCTGTAGCCTTTGAGACAGCCTCTCACATAGCTCTGAGGAACTATTCTGAAGAAGCATGGTTTGCGGCACAGTTTTATATCTTGTCAGAACAAGGAATGTCAAACACAACAGGTGTACATTCTTTCAAGATTTCAAAAAAAAAAGATCAGCATGTATACAGCAAGTGGTATGGCCTTGGTGCTTGGGAAGGGAGCCTTATATAGAAAGAGTATTAGCATTGATGTCTCAGGAAGGGAGGCATTTATTTCCATCTTCAGAACGAACATTCTTTACTTCTGGACAGTGCACCCTTTTCTTTAATAGTTAAAGCAGATGTACAATGTATGTGTGATAGGCCACAAGGCAGGCTGTTCTAGTTAGCATGAAGTTTTAAGTTAAGTGATGTATAAGCCAGAATGACTTCCCCATACCTCATTATGTGAAAATTTCTTCCATCACATCTTAGAATAATTACCATTCCCTAGCAGTTTGTGGGTTACAAAATATACTCCATAATTTTCTCACCAAGTCCTCACAGAGCTCATATTTCCACTTTATGGATTTAGGAAATGGAGATTCCAGATGACTTGCCACAAGGCCACAGAGCTACTTCAATGGTAGAACAGGAATTTATGCCCCTACCTCCTTGTTTTAAATCTCAGATTCCTTCCCCTTTGGCCTGTGAGATGGGGAGGAAAAACAGAGAGACCCTGAATATCAGCAAACATCAGAGAATCCAATCATTCTTCCCCTGAATCTTTTTCAGGGGGGAGGTCCTTGTCAAAGCTGGCACTGAAGAAACGATCGTGTATTCAGACATAGGTAAGATTAGCTCTGGCACAGTTTAGGTCTCTGGTGTCCCCATTCTCTGAGGCCAGATTCCATAGCTGTGAAACCCTGTCACCTGGGCTCCTTTATGCCCCACCCTCCTCATTTATCCTTGGTTCTCTGGCCAAGCCCCGGGGCTGTATCTCAGCCTGAGTTTTCTTGGTTTGGTTTGAAATGACTACAGGCAGTGCCTGTAGGCTGTCTGTGCCTCCAGACAAGGCCTGTGAGCAAATTACTTGCTGAGGCTCTGGTTGTTTTTATAGTGTTTGGGGAAGAAATTCCCGTCGGTCGATAAGGAATTACATCTTACTAATAGTGCACTTTTCTGTTTTTGCAGACCTGAAGAAGTTGGCTGAAATACGCCAGCAAATCCCCATTTTTAGCCAGAAGCGCTCAGACCTCTATGCAGTGGAGGCGAAAAAGCCCTAATGTTTATGTTTCCAACGTGTCATGAAACAGGAAGATATGTTTCTACAACATAATCAACTCCCTTCTGAATTCTTTAATGGAGATTCTTTTTTTTTTTTTTTTTTTTAATTTCAGCCTTTTCCCTTCCTGGATAGGGAAGCTCTCTGTTGAGGTGGTGGAGCATCAACTGATGCTGGTATTCTCCACACCATATTAAATAGTCAGAAAGGACTCAGTCTGGCATAGACGAGCAGAAGGCAAGGGGATGGCTGTAAGTCTTCCATATTCAGGTTATCTCAAAGCAATTAGTAAAAGTATCAGATCTTGGTATCCTTAATGGTTGATTCACCAGATATGAATATATCTGTGTCATGAACCTCTTATCTGATTGTTGGAGTTGGAATCCATTACGTAGAAAACTTGTTCTTTAAGCAGTACCTTAAAGTTACATTTTTGGTCTGTGAGTAGCTATGGAAAGCAAGGTGATGGATCCTTGGTGTTGGCTAGAGGAGATGGCAGCACCTTTCCTAGCAGCCTTTGGGCTCTTCAAATTCAGGAAGGAGCTAACTATTTAAGACCCCCTTAGTTTTAGGGGAAACATTGTTTCAATAATGAGCCCCCTGGGAGAATGGCAGTAGCATAATTTGGTCAAGGTAACTAAAGTGTGAGTCTCTGCAAAAGATTTTCTTGATAGGGGTGACTGTCTCTTTTTCTTTTTTCCCTAGTAACACTTTTAGCTTAATAAAGGTAAGTTTTTAGCCTAGTGGTTTTCAGAATCCTTTTACATAATTAAAAATTAAGAATTCCATTGAGGCTTATGTATGTTATAGCTAGTGGTGGGTTGGTAAATGTTTAATGACCAGCTGTCTGAGAAGAAGTCGATTTTGTAGTAGCATTTGCCAATTTCCGTGGTGTACTTACTGCCAAATTCAAGCTATCAGTGTAACACCTCTAAACACAGAGCTGGGAATAGATGTGCTCAATTGGCTCTTGTGAGCTGGTGCAATTCTACTGTAGCACACCACTGTTTACGTATATATAGATATTTGCCATACTGGAAAATAAAATTTAAAACAAAAGAATACACGAACATGCATCCCATTATCTATAAGAATGATGACATTATCATGTGCAGTTTAACCAGCACTGTATACGCAGAAGTGTTGTACAGTGAAAAAGGCAAATGACTTTTTAAAAATAAGTGTATAATTTGGCAAAATTTGACATGTATATACATGAAACCACTTCAATCAAGATAATGAATATACCCACCACCCCTAAAAGCTTCTTTGTGCTCTTTTATAATCTCTCTGGCTACTCCTCACATCCTCAGGCAAACACTGATCAGCTTTGTCACTACAGATTAGTTTGAATTTTCCAAAATTACCCAAAAGTGGAATCATACTATAGTTTTTTGTGTCTTCTTTCACTCACCATAATTATTTGGAGATTCATCCGTGTGTGTGCTTCAGTAATTCATTCCTTTTTTATTGAGTTAGTAGTCCATTGTATGGATGTACTGGAATTTATCCATTCACCTGTTGATAAGACATTTGAATTGTTTCCAGTTTTGGGCTATTACAAATAAAGCTGCTAGCTACATTTTGTACACATTGTTCATTTCTCTTGAGTAATGTCTAGGAGTGGAATGGTGGGGTCTTACATGTATTTCACTGCCAGTGCCATTTTACTTAGCAGTTTGTCAGAGTCCTAGGTGCTCCACATCCTCATCAGCACTTGGTATGATGAGCTTTTTAAATTTTAACGATTTTAATATGCATGTAATGTTATTTCATTATAGCTTTTTCTTTTTTTTTTTTTGGCGGTACACGGGCCTCTCACTGTTGTGGCCTCTCCCGTTGCAGAGCACAGGCTCTGGACGCACAGGCTCAGTGGCCGTGGCTCATGGCCCAGCCACTCTGCGGCATGTAGGATCTTCCCGGACCGGGACACGAACCCGTGTTCCCTGCATCAGCAGGCGGACTCTCAACCACTGTGCCACCAGGGAAGCCCTCATTATAGCTTTAATTTGTATCTTCCTAATGACTAAGGATGCTGAAGCATCTTTTCATGTGCTCCTTTGCTGTCTGTATATCCTCTTTGGTGAAGTGTCTGTGTGTATCTTTTTCCCCTATTTTTATGGGGTTATTTATCCTATTATTGATTAGTAAGCGGTCTTTATATATTCTAGATAAAAGTTCTTTGTTACGTTTTAATTTCTACAAATATATTCTCTAAGTTTGAGGAAACAAAGTCTTCATTTCCTTTTTCTTTTTTTTTTTTTGGTACGTGGGCCTCTCACTGTTGTGGCCTCTCCCGTTGCAGAGCACAGGCTCCGGACGCGCAGGCTCAGCGGCCATGGCTCACGGGCCCAGCCGCTCTGCGGCATGTGGGATCTTCCCAGACCAGGGCACAAACCTGTGTCCCCTGCATCGGCAGGCAGACTCAACCACTGCGCCACCAGGGAAGCCCAGTCTTTATTTTCTTAAACGTATTATTTAAAAAGTAAAAGTTTTAAATTTTCATGAAGGCCAATTAATTGCTTTTTTAAAATAAAGTTTGTCATGAATTTAGGTCTATGACCCATTTTATTTATTTTTTAATTTTTATTTTATATTGGAGTATAGTTGATTTACAATGTTGTGTTAGTTTCAGGTGTACAGCAAAGTGATTCAGTTATACATATACATACATATAACTATTCTTTTTCAGATTCCTTTGCCACGTAGATTACAGGTATTGAGTAGAGTGCCTTGTGCTAAATAGTAGGTCCTTGTTGATTGTCTTTTATATATGGCAGTGTGTATATGTTAATCCCAACTTCCTAATTTATCCCTCCCCCCCCATCTTTCCCTTTTGGTAACCATAAGTTTGTTTTCTAAGTCTGTGAGTCTGTTTCTGTTTTTTAAGTTCATTTGTATCATGTTTTTTAGATTCCACATATAAGTGATATCAGATGATATTTGTCTTTGGCTGACTTCACTTAGTATGATAATCTCTAGGTCCATCCACGTTGCTGCAAATGCCATTAATTACTTCATTCTTTTTATGGCTAATATTGCATTGTGTATATTTACTACATCTTTATCCATTCATCTGTCCATAGACGTTTAGGTTGCTTCCATGTCTTGGCTGTTCTAAGTAGTGCTGCAGTGAACATTGGGGTACGTATCTTTTCAGAGTGTGGTTTCTTCCAGATATATGCCTAAGGATTGTGATTGCTTGATCATATGGTAGCTCTATTTTTAGTTTTTTAAGGAACCTCATACTGTTCTCATAGTGGCTGTACCAATTTACATTCCCACCAAGTGTAGGAGGGTTCCCTTTTCTCCACACCCTCTCCAGCATTTATTATTTATAAACTTTTTTTAAACTATATTATTAATCTTTTTTAACATCTTTATTGGAGTATAATTGAATTACAATGTTGTGTTAGTTTCTGCTGTATAACAAAGTGAATCAGCTATATGTATACATATATCCCCATATCCCCTCCCTCTTGAGCCTCCCTCCCACCCTCCCTATCCCACCCCTCTAGGTGGTCACAAAGCACAGAGCTGATCTCCCTGTGCTATACAGCTGCTTCCCACTAGCTATTGATTTTACATTTGGTAGTGTATATATGTCAGTGCTACTCTCTCAGACTTTTTGATGATGGCCATTCTGACCCACGTGAGGTGACAACTCATTGTAGTTTTGATTTGCATTTCCCTAATAATTAGCAGTGTTGAGCATCTTTTCATGTGCTTTTTGGCCATCTGTATGTCTTCTTTGGAAAAATGTCTATTCAGGTCTTCTCATTTTTTAATTGAGTTGTTTGGTTTTTGTTTGTTTGTTTTTCTGGTATGCAGGTCTCTCACTGTTGTGACCTCTCCCATTGTGGAGCACAGGCTCCGGACGTGCAGGCTCAGCGGCCATGGCTCACGGGCCTAGCCGCTCCGCGGCATGTGGGATCTTCCCAGACCGGGGCACGAACCCGTGTCCCCTGCATCAGCAAGCGGACTCTCAACCACTGCGCCACCAGGGAAGCCACTGTTTTTTGATATTGAGTTATATGAGGTCTTTATATACTTTGCAGATTAATCCCTTGTTGGTTGCACTGTTTGCAAATATTTTCTCCCATTCTGTGAGTTGTCTTTTCATTTTGTTTATGGTTTCCTTTGCTGTGCAAAAGATTTTACGTTTAATTAGGTCCCATTTGTTTATTTTTGTTTTTATTTTCATTACTCTAGGAGGTAGATTCAAAAAAATATTGCTGTGATTTATGTCAAAGAGTGTTCTGCCTACATTTTCCTCTAAGAGTTTTATAGTATCTGGCCTTACATTTAGGCCTTTAACCCATTTTGAGTTTATTTTTGTTTATAGTGTTGGAGAATGTTCTAATTTCATTCTTTTACATGTGGCTTTCCAGTTTTCCCAGCACCACTTATTGAAGACTGTCTTTCTCCATTGTATATTCTTGCCTACTTTGTCATGGATTAATTGACCATAGGTGTATGGGTTTATTTCTGGGCTTTCTCTCCTGTTCCATTGATATGTGCATTTCTGTTTCTGTGCCAGTAATATACTGTTTTGATTACTGTAGCTTTGTAGGATAGCCTGAGGTCAGAGAGCCTGAGTCCTCCAGCTCCATTTTTCTTTCTCAAAATTGCTTTGGTTATTCAGGGTATGACCCATTTTGAACTGGTAATTGTTTGTATATGGTGTGAGGTAAGAGTCAAGATTTTTTTTTTTTTTTTTTGCATATAGCTATTCAGTCGTTCCACTGAATTGCCTTGGCATCTTTATTAAAATGAATTGGCCATATGTATCTTGATCTATTTCTGGACTCGTCTCTTCTTTTTCATTAATCTATTTATCTATCTTTACACCAGTAACTTATTATGTTGATTACTGTAACTTTTTTTAAATGGTTTGCCTCTTTTTTAAACGTTTATTTATTTTGGGCTGCGCTGGGTTTTCGCTGCTGTGCGTGGGCCTTTCTCTAGTTGTGGTGTATGGGCTTCTCATTGTGGCGGCCCCTCCCGCTGCAGAGCACTGGCTGGCTCCAGGCACGTGGGCCCCAGTAGTTGTGGCTCACAGGCCCAGTTGCTCCACAGTATGTGGCATCTTCCTGGACCAGGGCCCAAACCCGTGTCCCCTGCACTGGCAGGGGGACTCCCAACCACTGTGCCACCAGGGAAGCCCTGTAAATTTATAGTAAGTCTTTAAGTCAGATAGTATTAGTCCTCCAACTTATTTTTCAAAATGGTTTAAACTAAGTCCTTTGTATTTCCATACAAACTTCAGAATCAGGTTTTAAATTTCCCCAGAACAGCAGCCTGTCAGGGTTTTCACTGGGATTGCATTGAATCTATAGAACAGTTTGGTGGAAAGTTGAAGTCTTACCCATACTGAATCACTGACTCGGGAACATGAGATATCTCAATTATTTAGGCCTTCCTTAATTTCTCTCAGCAGCGTTTGTTAGTTCCAGTATAAAGGTAATGCAAATCTTTTGTCCATTTTATCCCTGAAGACTACAAGTGTTTTGATGCTGCAGTATTGTTTTGGAAACATTTCTAGTTTTTCATTGCTAGTGTATAAAATATAATTTATTTCTGTATATGGTCTTTTATCCTGAAACCTTGCTAAATTCACTCTAGCAGCTTTTTATATGTTTGTATTCCATATGATTTTTCACATAGATGATCATGTCTGCAAATACAGTTTACAAAATAAGCATCTTCCTTTCCAATCTGGTTCTTTTATTTACTTATTCTGGCCTATGACATTGGCTAGAACCTCTAGGACAGTTCTCAATAGACTAGTGA